TTGAATCACATCAAGAGGTACACAATGACTGGTTGTCGCACTTTCACTGATATAAAATTAACCTCAGGTTTCAAGCAATGTCAACCCAATCCCTCCATTTTAAAGTTCTCCATTGATGAGCATTGCCTAGATCCATTAATTCACTACCTGTATATCCATTGCTGTCAAGTTGATTCTGACTCATGGTGACCCTATAGGACAGAGTAGAACTGCCCCATAGGGTTTTCAAGGAGCTGCTGGTGGATTTGAACTTCCGGCCTTTTTGATTAGCACCTGTAGCTCTTAACCACTGTACCACCAGGGCTCCAAAAACCAAACTCATTGCCATCAAGTCTATAGGACACAGTAGAACTGCCTCATAGGGTTTCCAAGGAGCAGCTGGTGGATTTGAACTTCCAACCTTTTAGTTTGCATCATGGCAAATTTTCACTCATTCTTTCTACACTTATTAGCTGGAATTCTATAAAAAGTAATTTTTCATCATCAACTAATTACCCCCACCAAATATCATCAAGATATTTTGTTATCTTGAAATACATTTCATAAAGGAAAGGTGGGATAAGTGATGTTTGATCCTTTTCCTTTATAAGAGTAATTATAAGAGTAATGAGAGTTCATTAACCTCACCCGATGGTGACCAATTAGTTTGTATTGTTTTAAAATAATTTTAAACACGTGGGGTTTTATATATTTCATGTGATTTGATTAATTGCAATAATTTTTTTTTTATGCTCCAATTGTTTCATCTGAGTCAGTGGTAGCCCCTTCAAGTTGGTTACTGTATCATTTTAACATGACCCCTCCTCTTTGGCACATCAAGATGTATCAGGCTCATCTTTTCAGACCTGCCCCACACTTGGCATCAGCCATTTCTCGGAGGAGCTTTTAGTGGGAAATTGTATTTAAAGACCACCTCTGGGTGCTAGGAGTATTGTTTGCTTCTGGGATGTCATTGCTTCTAGGCTTTTCAGTGGGCAGGGCTTGGAATTCCTTTTTTTTTTTTTAAGAAAAATCACAAGTTCATACTGATTTTTCTAATTAAAATATAACTTATGTGTTTTTTTAACATAAGTTTTTAAAGTTATACTTGTATCTCCCCTATTTTTACATGGAGAATCTTGCTTTCCAAAAACATTACTGTAATTGCTTCTTTGCTTTATTCTACAATCTACATATAATAATTTCAAAACAGCCATATAAATATTGCAAAGAAGGTTATTGAAAATAGTTTAGGATCTCTTTTAACTCTGTCTTTAGAATATATCCATTATAGTACTGTTTTACACATAATACTGTGTAATACATATGTATGTACAGTTATAATGCTGTGTTTTAAAGCCACTTGAATGAATGAATTTCTTTCTTCAGTCATTTCATCAATTAGATATATAGTTTCAATTTGGTTCAATTTTTTAGGGGTTTATTTTTTTCCTTTTTATTTATTTGTTTTAAAATTTTATAAAACATATCATTTCATAAAAGGAGCCCTGATGGCTCAATGGTTAAGCGCTTGGCTGCTAACCAAAAGGTTGGCAGTTCAAACCACCTAGCAGCTCTGTGGGAGAAAGACCTGGCGATCTACTTCCGTAAAGATTACAGCCAAGAAAACCCTGTGGGGCAGTTCTGCTGTCTCACATGGGGTCGCTATGAGTAGCAATTGACGCGACCGACCCAATACCAGCACATTTTATACGCATGTAACAAGGTGTACTCAGTGATATTTTGCTTCCTTCCTGTTCCTGTAACCTTGTTCCTACCTTCTGCTAATAGGTAATCAACTTAGATTAGTTTATCCCTTCATTGTTTCTTTTTTGATATTATAAGCAATTGCATATAAAAATGTATACTCTGCCCGCTTTCTTACACAAAAAGTAGCATACTGGACACACTCTTATGCAACTTGCTTCTTTGACTTGACAATACACAGGTAGTCCCCCACTTACAACAGGGTTCTGTTCCGACGATTACTCTGTTGTAAGTTGGTTCTGACATAAGTAAAATACTTCCTTTTTTTTTTTAGTTTTCATTATTATTGCCTTTTATTATCAGTATCTTTATAAATCCAATCTGTATTTGTCTTTGGGTATTGGAAACATTACATCTGAGAATGATAACATTAGCAAATTTCGTGTGGCAACATTGTATGTAGTACATATTACTAACCATAAAACGTACAAAAGAAAAAAAAATGATGATTGTAAGTGCAGTAGTTGTACCTCAAATATGTTGTAAGTCAAAACTACCTGTATCCAGGAGATCATTCCATGTCATGTAAAGAGATCTTTATCCTTCCTTTTAACAACTGCATAGTACTCCGTTGTGAAGATATATACCACAGTTTATTCAACCAATCCCTTAATATTGAGTATTAGGGTTGTTTCCTGTCTTTTGCTATTATAGATATTATTGCAGTGAACAGATTTGTGTATATGTTTTTAAATTTTTTTCCCTAGTATATCATTGAGATAGGTTTCTATAATTAGAGTGATGGATTAAAGGATAAATATTTATGTGTAATTTTGCTGGATATCAAGAAATACCTCTCCAGAGTGGTTTCACTATTTTGTATTTCCACTAGCAATGTATACCAAAAAAACTAAACCTATTGCTGTCGAATTGATTCTGACTCATAGTGACGCTATAGGTCAGAATAACTGCCCTATAGGATTTCCAAGGCTGTAATCGTTACAGAAGCAGACTGCCACATCTTTCTCCTGGAGAGTGGCTGGTGGGTTCAAACTGCCAAGCTTTTGGTTAGTAGCCAAGCACTTTATCACTGCACCACCAAGTCTCCTCCAGCAATGTATAAGAGGGGCTATTTTTCCACAGACTCAAAAATAGAATAATTTGTTAAACCTTTGGATTTTTGTCAATTTGAAAGGTAAGAAATGTATATATTTTACATTAGTTTTGTATTTCTCCTTTTGTAAGTAAGGTTGTGTATCTTTCCATATGTTAATGAGCCATTTGCCCTTTTTAAATCTATTCATTGTCTCTTCATAATTTTATCCATTTATTCGTTTGGACTTAATTTTTTTCTTTCACAATTTTTAAGAGCTCTTTTTATTTTAGGGATATTAGCTACTTTTTCTCTGGGATATAATTAAATATTTTTCTCAGTTTGTCCTTTGCCTTTGACTTTGCTTATGATGTTTTTTGGTCATGCATACATTTTTTATGTAGATAAATTTACCAATCTTTAATTGCTTTTGAAATTTGAGACCTATTTATACAGTGTTCCAATTCCCAGATTAAAGATTAATTTTCTTAAAATTTTATTAATTTTGTTGTTGTTGTTGAGAATATGCACAGCAAAACATACACCAATTCAGCAGTTTCTACATGTACAATTCATTGTCTGCAAGAAAACTTCTAGAGCTAATAGAGGAGTTTAGCAAAGTTTCAGAGTATAAGGTCAACAAACAAAAAATAGTTGGGTTTCTATACACAGCAGTTAGAAATCTGAAAGGGAAATTAAGGAAACAATTCCATTTACAATAGCATCTAAGAGAATAAAATACCTATGAACAAAAATTTAACCCAGGACATGAATCCATCCATTTTTAATTCAAGTATTTGTATGATTGCAATTATTACATTTAGATCTTGGATTCATTTGGAAATTCTTCTGGTATATGATATGGGACATGTATCCAGTTCACTCTCTCTCCTCCCCACCCCCATCTGTCTGTCTGTCTCTCTCTCACACATGGCTCCCCAGTTGTCCCAATACTGACATGCACCCTCCCTTACAGATTTGAGATGCTGCTTTACTGTGTCTTAAATTTCCATGTGCACCTGGGCCAATTTCTGAACTTTGTATTCTGTTTCATTGGTCTGTCTACTTACGTGCAGTACTCCACTCTTAATTATAGAGGCTTAGAATACATGTGAGGAGCCCTGGTGGTGCAGTGGTGAAGTGCTCAGCTGCTAACTGAAAGGTCAGCAGTTCAAACCCACCAGCCACTCCATGGGAGAAAGATGGGGCAGTCTGCTTCCATAAAGATTTACAGCCTTGGAAACCCTAGGGGGCAGTTCTATTCTGTCCTATAGGGTGGCTATGAGTTGGAACAGTCTTGACAGTAGCAGGATAATACATTTAAGGAGTCCCAACAGTGCAACAGTTAAGCGCTTGACTGCTAACTGAAAGGTTGGCGGTTCAAACCCACCCAGTGGCTCTGTAAAAAAGACCTGGCAATCTGCTCTTATAAAGATTACAGCCTAGAAAACCCTATGTGCAGTTCTACTCTGTCACATGGGGTGACTATGAGTCAGAATCGACTTGACTGCACCTAACAACAATAATAATAACATAATACATGTAGGGCTAAGCCATCTAGAATTGCCTTTTCTTTTTTTAGAATTCTTGCTATTCCTAGGTGTTCTTACTGTCGCAAATTGAGTTTTTGAATCAGGAGTATTATTATTGTTTAGTAGTATTTTATGTATTATGCCCTTTTTTCTGGTGCTGTTTTAGATACTGGAGAGAGATACAATGGTGGCAAGACCAACGATATCTAGTCTCTCTCAGAGCTAATGTTCCAGTGAGGGAAGATAGAACAGAAACAAGATGACTTTAAATGGTGGTAAATGCTAAGAAGAAAAAAAAAAAAAAAAAGATGAAGTGATAGAGAAGGAAGGAGGAGAGGTCTCTCTGATAAGTTGATCTACGAGCTGATTCCTGAATCACAAAAAGGAACATTCATATCAAGGTCTGGGGCAGAACTGTCCAGGACAAGGGAGTGCTTAGCATAAAGGCATTGAAAAGGAATAGCTACCAATGCTTATTATATGCTTGTTATGAAGCAGGAACAACGCTAAAACATTTCACCTGCATTATCTCAGGTATTTCTTGTAACAGCCCTTGGAGGTAGGTCTCTATTATTAGCCACATTTTGACAATGAGATTGAGAGAGTTTAGATCATTGGCCTCTTCTCAGCCCCAACTTGGCGGTAAGGGCTCAAACTACAGTGGTGAATCTTCGATTTTATCTCCCCAGGCTTTCATGAGAAGGACAAGAAGCCTTATTGCCGAAAGGATTTCTTAGCCATGTTCTCACCCAAGTGTGGTGGATGCAACCGCCCAGTGTTGGAAAACTACCTGTCAGCCATGGACGCTGTCTGGCATCCAGAGTGCTTTGTGTGTGGGGTCTGTATCGGTATACTCATTTATCTTTTGGATTTAGGGAAAGCCAGGGGTTCTCCTCTCTGAGAGGTAGAGCTGCAAATAGTAAAGGGTCTACAGTCCTGGGTAAGGAATTGATGTGGGTTCCCTAAGAAGAAACAAAACATAACATCCATTGTGGGCATTTGCTTGTCTGTTTTGCAAGTGGACACTACTCTATCCCTCTGCTTGCCAAGGACACAAGTGAAATCCCTGTGACTGGCAGGTACTGGCAGGAATTTCAGGACCAAAAGTTTTACTTTGCCAGAGAGTTTTACTTCTTGTCATCTGTGTTCCTTTTCCCTGTCTCTTCTCACCCCCAGGACTGCTTCAGCAGTTTTTCTACTGGTTCCTTCTTTGAACTGGATGGACGCCCATTCTGCGAGCTTCATTACCATCAGCGCCGAGGAACCCTCTGCCATGGATGTGGGCAGCCCATCACTGGCCGCTGTATCAGTGCCATGGGGCACAAGTTCCATCCAGAGCACTTCGTGTGTGCTTACTGCCTGACGCAGTTATCAAAGGGCATCTTTAGGGAGCAGAATGACAAGCCCTATTGCCATTCTTGCTTCAATAAGCTCTTCCGGCTGTAATGTTACCTGAACCCACCCACAGCCTCTTCAGATCCACCAGAAAATTTAAACCAAGAGATGAAAGAGTACAATTGCTATTACTGACCTTCTGCTTAATAGGTTTTTAGAGAAAGTAAAGGTGATGAGCAAAAAGGAACTTATAGATGTTACATGACTAGGCTTAACAATTTCAATATTACCTTCCATGCTAGCAATCTATGTCGTCACTAAATAAGGCAACAAGCCAATCATGTGTTCTCTTGAAATCCTAACAGTGCCAATCAATTCCAGCTCTCTTCCTTCTCCTTTTCCGTCCTCTTCCTCCTCTTCTTCCTCCTTCTCCTTCTCTTCTTCTTCCACTTCTTCTTCTTCTTATCAGGTACTTGGATTTAGATCTGGGTCTTGCTATCTAGGCCCTCTGCAGATATATTTTCCACGTGCACATAATCAATTTGCCACTGGTTTTCTCGGATTTCTCCATTTTCACCCACTACTGATGCCCTGCTTGTATCCCCTCCCCTTTGGCCCTCATAACTGTCCCCTTTAGGTTTCCCCATTTTCCCATGGCTCACTTTCCCACAGTCACTGCTGTGGACTTTATCCACATTATCAGGAGTTGTGATACCACTTGTAAACTTAAACTACCTCTTGCCTCAGTATATTTCTCTTTTTCAAGGGGAAGTAGATTTTAACTGGACAACGTTGAATACTGACATCATTAATAAATAAAATGGCTTGCAGTTTGAATGACTCATTGTCATATTTGTTTGAGAGATGA